TAAATATCCGCCGAATTGTCTTTTCAAGAATAACCGGGCGTAAATATAGCAGAAACAACCTACATTCAGAAGCTTTCCATGCCGATACAAAGTCTAGTGTACGGCATTTACGGGGAAAGTCAGAAAGAGTACCTCTACATCTACATTGAGATATAAATGTAAAGAGTCAAAATCAATAGTACGCAACCAAAGCTCAACGTATCTTAGCAGATTGGTTTTCAATCCTAGATGGTAATAAACCCCACTGCCGATAAACTTTGGTTGAACACTTGGACACGTCTTCAGGACACCTCTTATGCTTTTCGGTATGTCCGGGATCAGAAATCGTAAACCATACAAAACCCGATCAGCATCTCTTATGCTGAGAGATGTATTTCACACTAGATACATCATGAAGTCGTTCATCAGTTGTTTGCGATTTACGAAATTATGAGAGCACAAGTCCACTGCAGGAGATCCTATAAGATATATATTCGCGTGTGAATTTAATATACATACCACTGTTGTCTGCAAGCCTTTGGTTGATGTTGCTAGTGCTTGGTGTTACAGTTGAAGTACCGTCATTACAATTGATATCCGTCTTTACTTCTACCAATTTAATAAACAATACTGTTGAACTCAGTTACCTTTTAGAGTGCGTTCATTAGCAAACTCACTGAACGAAAGGAAGTCATATTTCTTCATTAAAGCAGCTCTCATTTTATTCCATCTCCTATCATAAGTGGTTCTGTGACAACCAAGGGAACCTGACAAGTTCACAGTGGCCCTACGTCTACGAACATTCTCACTGACATCATAAAAAGTCATATTATTGTTGGCCTAAGAAGGTAATCAGTAACAATAAACCTTAAATCATGTCGGAACACTTCAGCTAAACAACAAACGAAGTCACTGTGTATGCGTATCAACCGAATGCCTGGTTCTGTATTTTGTACATTGTTTCTATGACAATACTTTTGTTTCTTTAATAAGCGGCGCCTTAATTTGTCGAAGTCTATGAAAAATTCTGTTCCGGATGCGGTTCATTCAAACGCTGTACGTTACGTAGAATTGTCGACAAATTTCCCCCAAATACACGACGTAAGGGGGAAAAGCAACATCTCCCCTAAATAACCGACGTAAAGGCGAAAAAGCGACATATCCCCTTTATTTACCCTTACGTCCGCTTTATTTCCTCTTTTTCCCAGTTTATTTCCCCTTTTTGTGTTGCTTGGGCAGTGTTACGAGGGATGAAAAATGGACTACAATACGTAGAAAACGAAATGAAAAGAAAAAAGTTGTAAGCAGTACACAGGTAGTTAGTAACTCAATGGTGGACTCAAATTGTGAGCCACAAGTTGCACTACCAAGATGTGATCGTAAGAGTGAAACCCATCCTGAGAAGAAAAATCTAATAACATCGAATATTATTGTGAGCAATTTGCGGGAGTCAAATGACCCTGATCCGAAAATTAGACACGCACATGACTTAGAAAAACTAGGAGAATACATTCGTAGTATTTTACCAGATAACTCCAAAGGAGTTCAGGTTAAAAAGTTAGTAAGAATAGGCAAGAGGACCGAGGACAATGTTGAACCCCGTCCATGCAGACTCCTTAAGATAATCCTAGGATCGGAGAAGCAACGGGATCTCTTGTTAAGTAGCGCTCGTTGTCACGACAATTCTGACATTCGAGTTAGACCTGACATATCTCTCGAAGATAGAAATAAAAGGAAGAAAGCACTAGCTGAACTTGAAACCCCGCGGCAAAACGGCGAGGAAAATCTCCGGTTAGTGGGTTTTCGGATAGTCAGGTCTTGGAAACGAATGCTACCAAGGCCTGTGTGGATAGGCTGTTCTACTTAGGAGTTTTATATGCCAACGCTCGTAGTCTACGAAATAAGTTCTATGAACTAGAAGCACTAGTGGACAGGGTAAAGCCACTCATAGTAGCAGTGACAGAAACTTGGTTAGTTGATGACTTAGACATTACTCCAGAATTATCCGGATATCACTGCATCAGGAGTGACAGACATAGATGTAGGAAAGGAGGCGGCGTCCTGTTATACATAGCTAATAGCATAAATATCCGCTCCTCTACTAGCGAATCCCATGATAGCGGTACTTGTGAAGTCATTAGCTGTAAGTTGGCTATCGGATGTAGTACATTTATGCTGGGTGTCATCTATCGGAGCCCAATCTGCATAGTTGATGACTTTGTTTGGTTCTTCTCTGCTGGATTTGGTAATCACTCATGAGACTGAGGATATTGTCGACTTCAATATTCTCCCGCCGTTAGTGAACAGCGACCACGCTGTTTTGTCATTCACGTTTCGTACTAGGGACATGTTATACGATCAGGTTACACCTCGCCCAAATGTATGGAAAGCTAACATATCAGCCATTCAGGAATGTGCTGCTAAGACAAATTGGTTAATAGATGCTAGCATATCAGTTGAAGAAGCATGGTCTGTATTTAAAGGTAAATTTAGACTAGTTACGTCCCCGTTCATACCATACCTGGTACCGCGAAGACCGAATAATAGTCCACCATGGATAACTAAAACGGTCAGGAAACTCCTTAGAAAAAGGAAGAATCACTGGGATATGTTCATCTCTACTGGCTTAGAACAATACAGATCCAGTTATTGTAAGATTAGGAATGCCTGTAAAGCGTTAATAAGTAAGACTAGACTATCATACGAAAAACAATTGGTTAGGGATTCTAGATATAGTCCGAAACGGTTATTCTCGTATATAAAAAGGCGAACTAAGAGAAGTGATGGAATTCCATCACTTTTGATACGAGAAAATCCTTTAATCTTAGCAGAGAATGATGCCGAAAAAGCTTAAGCTTTATCGGAATACTTTAGTAAAGTGTTTTCTATCGGTAATGAGGAACGACCAATGATTCGTTGCGACCGTGACGGCTCGCTGATGGATCCTGTAGTCATTGAGAAAGATACTGTTTTAAGACTACTCCAGCATCTCAAACCTGATAAGTCCAGTGGTCCTGACGATATTCATCCTAGGATTATGAAAGCCATATCAGATGAAATTGCTGAACCATTAGCGATACTATTCGACATGTCTCTGAGACAGTCCAAACTGCCTAGAGACTGGAAAGACGCCATAATAAGTCCGGTGTATAAGGCTGGGGGTAGGGATTTAGTTAGTAACTATAGACCCGTTAGCTTAACTAGTGCAGTTGTAAAACTGATGGAGAAAATCATCCGGATAGCTATTATAAACTATGTTGAAGGGCAAAATCTTTTCTCCAGGGAACAACATGGTTTTCGGAAAGGCCTATCTTGCTTGACAAATCTTCTCATTGCACGAGAAGATTGGGCTGCGGCAGAGGATCGGAATGCTCCTGTGGATGTGATTTTCATAGATCTAAGTAAAGCCTTTGATAAGGTTTCCCACTCTGGTCTTAAATTCAAACTGAAACGTTTTGGAATCCATTATACAGTCGTCGATTGGATAAGTAACTTTCTCCATGACAGGAGACAAAGGGTAAGGGTTAATGGGACTCTCTCCTCGTGGATACCTGTAAAAAGTGGGGTTCCCCAAGGTACAATCCTGGGTCCTCTTCAATTTTTACTTTATGTAAATGAATTGCCAACTGTAGCAAAATCATCCGTTCTACTCTTCGCTGATGACATAAAGATTTGGAGACCCATACATAGTATGTCGGATAGGATAGTATTACAGGACGATCTTAGCTCATTGGTGGCATGGTTAGATAGGTGGTCACTAGAAGTAAATCCTAATAAGAGTGTAGTAATGCAGTTAAATAACTCTGATGAATCGTATGACTATACACTACGTGGATTCGTGCTACAAAAAGTAAGAAACTATAAAGATTTAGGAGTCATATTAAGCAATGATCTCAAAACGACTAGTCACTGTAAGGCTGCTGCTGCGAAAGGCTATAGGGTATTATGGTCAATTCGTGGGTCTTTCCAGTATTTAGATGATGAAATGTTTAGATTACTATACCCGATTTATGTGCGACCACATTTAGAATACGGGATTCAAGCAGCGTGTCCTTGTTTCAAATATGAAGCAGATATATTGAGATTTAGATGGTGGTTGGAGGTAGTCAACAGGAAACCCTGGACCCTGGTTACTTAGCACTCGTCAGCAAGGTGTACCTGTGATCTTGAGGGAACTGGTGCTCCCTGGCGGATTCGATCTCGTGTCACCCAGCTTCACAGTCAGAGACGTTACCACTGAGCTATCCGAGCCGTGACTAACCTCCTGAAGGACTGAGATGTAATTACAATTGATTGATCACTGGGTGGTGATCAATGTTTTGCTTGTCTAGTCCTTATTAGTGCAGATCGAAAGCTATCGACCATGTTGCAATGTGGCCACCAGTCTAGGTGACTCGATACTGCGGGCACTATGTATTGAGATTTAGATGGTGGTTGGATTACAGGTACACCTTGCTGACGAGTGCCAAGTAGCACGAAACCCGGGTCCAGGGTTTCCTGTTGACTACCTCCAACCACCGTCTAAATCTCAATACATAGTGCCCTCAGTGTCGAGTCACCTAGACTGGTGGCCATATTGCAACATGATCGATAGCATTCGATCTGAACTAATAAGGACTAGACAAGCAAGACATTGATCACCACCCAGTGATCAATCAATTGTAATGAAGCAGATATGCTAGAAAGAGTCCAACGACGAGCTACTAAGATGGTACAAGGTCAATCTGGCCTATCTTATGAAGACAGACTGAGACACCTTAACTTATTTCCGTTATCTTACCGTAGAATAAGGGGTGATCTAATATTGGCCTATCGTATAATGAACGATGACCTTGGTATTAACATGTTTTATGTTTTGCTCCCGTCTAGAACCGATCATTTGAGAGGACATTCGAAGAAAGTTCAAAAACCGAGATCAAACCGTTTACGTCTGGAGTTCCGTTTCTCGCACCGAGTAGTGAATTACTGGAATTCTCTACCGGAACACGTAATATCAGCACCATCTGTTAATATATTCAAAACGAGATTGGACCTCCACAGTATTACAAACTGTAAGGATTAATATAGGTCGACAGACTTCCTATCCTTATTACTGAAGACTGAAGACTGAAGCTTATACTCTGTCCTAAACCACTTGACTCATTTACGGCCCGGTAGTTTCGAATGATGACCAAGAAGTCAAGGAATGACCTCCTAAACTTTCTTAAGGCTATTGGGTAATATATCCTTGTTTTTGTTTACTTTTATCAGCAAAAGCTACGAATCAAGAACTTTTCTTGATAAGGACAATGAATTCTCTTCAGTAGTTAGTGATTTGGTGTTTGAACTGGGGAAATCTCACAATATCTCTTCGAATGTTTATCCACTTACAGGTTACAGGTTCATTTTTGTTATGCAATAAATTTCAGACGAGTATGAATATACCAACTTCGCAAACAGCTTGGAAAAGTTTCTGACAGCTTATGGTGAGTTATAATTAATTGTAAATTAGACAATATATATTGTCGTGAGCATATATGCTCACGTCATTCAGACAAGAACGAACTGATGTACGTACGTACGAAGTTCTACGTTGTTACTGATTGACAAGAACGCTAAAGAATCCAGTGAATTTTTTAAGTCCCATTCATAAAATGTCTCAGTGCCTCAAATTCATTTACGAATATAATTAGCATTAAAACCAAGTGCTTGATAAATCCCACCAATTTAGTGTGATTTGGTGATTATTGCTTAGCCTTCACCAAGCCACTCTTAGATTTCAAAGCAGGCTATACAGTATTTCACTAAGAAAGGGCTGCTGGTGGATTTTCGACATCGCTTCATAAACCTAGAATTTTGAATATGTAACCCGTTTATGAAATACAGTTTTATTTATTCGACTTTGGCTAACTGTCACCAGCATTTTCAAACTCAAGCGGTGTTCCTTGGAGTTGCCCACTATCTAATCAGTCCTAATGGGTTGGTGTCTGACTCTCAAACCTTTACTGACGCGCGCTATCTAAAAAGGACAGTGGTATTGTTTCTCGTTAAATTAGTAAACTGTTTTGATCGTAAATTACGTATCAAAACTACGATTTACACTTTAATTGAATCTACCCCAGTTAAGGTGATATTTTACTGAGTTTTTTTAGGCTCTCTACTCGAACACAACTGGTAGAGTGAGAGCTTATGGCGAACTGTCATCAGAATTGATTACCTCAAGTGGTGTTCGTCAGGGCTGTCCACTCTCCCCATTCTTGTTCAACTTTGTGGTCGACGTACTTTTAGAGATAACACTCTCCTCATCTAAATTTCCAGGGGTTGAACTTCTACCGGGAGGTTCACTTGTTGACTTAGAATATGCAGATGACATAGTTTTATTTGGTGAAGACGCTGACAAAATGCAGAGTCTTCTGACCACTCTAAGCAACAATGCAAGCATGTTCGGGATGCGATTCTCTCCCTCGAAATGCAAAATGTTGCTTCAGGATTGGGTTACATCGACACCCGAACTAGTGATGGGGAGTGAAGTAGTTGAGTGTGTCGACCGCTTCACTTATCTTGGAAGTCTCATCAGCCCTTGTGGTCTGGTGTGTGACGAAATCTCAGCACGGATACAGAAGGCTCGACTAGCTTTTGCCAACTTGCGTCATTTATGGCGTAGGCGAGATATCCGTCTACCAACCAAAGGACGTGTTTACTGCGCAGCAGTTCGTTCCGTCCTACTTTATGGCTGTGAAACATGGCCGGTAAGAGTAGAGGATATTCGTAGGTTACTAGTATTTGATCATAGGTGTCTTCGAAGTATTGCTCGTATATCCTGGGACCACCGAGTAAGTAACGCAGCTGTTAGGAAACGGGTACTAGGTAAGGATGGCAAATCAATTGATGAAGTAGTGAAACTTCATCAGTTGAGATGGCTGGGACACGTGTTACGTATGCCCAACCACCGACTACCTCGACGTGCTATATTCAGTGGTATAGGAGTAGGTTGGAAGAAAGCTAGGGGCGGCCAGACCAAAACATGGCACAAATCCATGAAGTCACTGACAAGTGGACTGAGTCATGTTGGTAGGTATAGACTACCTGGTTGGGGACCGCGAGATGATAGCAACCGATGGTTAGAGACCCTGAATGACATGGCTCAAAATCGTTTGCAATGGCGCAGGTGCATCCACTCTCTATGTTCTCCCAAATTCTAATTATCTGAATTCTTCATGCCCCTTTTTTTTCCTCTTTCCAAATTTATTTCACTGGATTATACTCGTTAAATAACATCTCCAAACCCTAATCTGCCCGATCACTGCTTATACTCTTGCTACCTCTACCACTACGGGATTTGAATCGACCACTGCATCTCTGTGCTAATGTGGTATGGCAACTCGAACTGATGTACGTACGTACTAAGTTCTACGTTGTTACTGACTGACTTTTTTAGGCTTTTGTGTATTTATTACACTCGGAAGCATTCTTGGTCGTTATAAAAGTACTTTAGTTAAGGTTTGACATCTTGCTAGAGTTGTCTTGTGGTTCATACTGTGATCATATTGTGTATTACACCTTGATCATACTAAAATGGTTGGTAGTACCCACAAATGTGGACAACCAAAGTGCTTGTTCCCTGTGGAGGAGGGAATGCAGTGTGACGAATGCAATAAATGGTTTCACAAAATGTGTACCCGTTTAAGTCCCACTGCATATAAAAGATGTTCGAAGCCTAACTCACATTGGCTTTGCATGTTTTGCTGTGCCAACAAGGCATTGATAATACAGGAGGCTATGAGCCTATTGGCTTTGGCCTGTAAGAAGAGTGATGGCTTATGTGCCGACAACACGGGCACTGACAGTGACGAATGTGTCAGTGTTGTTACGCAACGCCTCAAAAAACCGACTCTGAACGACGCAAAAGTGAAATATCCGTTGATATTAACAGGGGGAGTAGTACCACCTAGTACTGACATTGTTAATCATGCACCTTTAGTGGGAATCGACGATCTGGATAAAACAGTCACCGTTCCAAATAGTCCCAGTGTTACTAGGGATGAAAAATGGACTACGGTACGTAGAAAACGAAATGAAAAGAAAAAAGTTGTAAGCAGTAAACAGGTAGTTAGTAACTCAATGGTGGACTCAAATTGTGAGCCACAAGTTGCACTACCAAGATGTGATCGTAAGAGTGAAACCCATCCTGAGAAGAAAAATCTAATAACATCGAATATTATTGTGAGCAATTTGCGGGAGTCAAATGACCCTGATCCGAAAATTAGACACGCGCATGACTTAGAAAAACTAGGAGAATACATTCGTAATATTTTACCAGATAACTCCAAAGGAGTTCAGGTTAAAAAGTTAGTAAGAATAGGCAAGAGGACCGAGGACAATGTTGAACCCCGTCCATGCAGACTCCTTAAGATAATCCTAGGATCGGAGAAGCAACGGGATCTCTTGTTAAGTAGCGCTCGTTGTCACGACAATTCTGACATCCGAGTTAGACCTGACATATCTCTCGAAGATAGAAATAAAAGGAAGAAAGCACTAGCTGAACTTGAAACCCCGCGGCAAAACGGCGAGGAAAATCTCCGGTTAGTGGGTTTTCGGATAGTCAGGTCTTGGAAACGAATGCTACCAAGGCCTGTGTGGATAGGCTGTTCTACTTAGGAGTTTTATATGCCAACGCTCGTAGTCTACGAAATAAGTTCTATGAACTAGAAGCACTAGTGGACAGGGTAAAGCCACTCATAGTAGCAGTGACAGAAACTTGGTTAGTTGATGACTTAGACATTACTCCAGAATTATCCGGATATCACTGCATCAGGAGTGACAGACATAGATGTAGGAAAGGAGGCGGCGTCCTGTTATACATAGCTAATAGCATAAATATCCGCTCCTCTACTAGCGAATCCCATGATAGCGGTACTTGTGAAGTCATTAGCTGTAAGTTGGCTATCGGATGTAGTACATTTATGCTGGGTGTCATCTATCGGAGCCCAATCTGCCTAGCTGATGACTTTGTTTTAGAGCACATTCATCTTTGGAGTGAAAATACCAGATGTTTGGTAATAGGAGACTTTAACGCACCTGATATTAGTTGGACTGATATGACCACAGCAGGATCTATAAACTCCTTTGATAGTAAGTTCCTGATAACAATAATGGAGCATGCACTAGTACAGCATGTATCCCAACCCACACGTTTTGGTGTTAACCAGGGTTCTTCTCTGCTGGATTTGGTAATCACTCATGAGACTGAGGATATTGTCGACTTCAATATTCTCCCGCCGTTAGTGAACAGCGACCACGCTGTTTTGTCATTCACGTTTCGTACTAGGGACATGTTATACGATCAGGTTACACCTCGCCCAAATGTATGGAAAGCTAACATATCAGCCATTCAGGAATGTGCTGCTAAGACAAATTGGTTAATAGATGCTAGCATATCAGTTGAAGAAGCATGGTCTGTATTTAAAGGTAAATTTAGACTAGTTACGTCCCCGTTCATACCATACCTGGTACCGCGAAGACCGAATAATAGTCCACCATGGATAACTAAAACGGTCAGGAAACTCCTTAGAAAAAGGAAGAATCACTGGGATATGTTCATCTCTACTGGCTTAGAACAATACAGATCCAGTTATTGTAAGATTAGGAATGCCTGTAAAGCGTTAATAAGTAAGACTAGACTATCATACGAAAAACAATTGGTTAGGGATTCTAGATATAGTCCGAAACGGTTATTCTCGTATATAAAAAGGCGAACTAAGAGAAGTGATGGAATTCCATCACTTTTGATACGAGAAAATCCTTTAATCTTAGCAGAGAATGATGCCGAAAAAGCTTAAGCTTTATCGGAATACTTTAGTAAAGTGTTTTCTATCGGTAATGAGGAACGACCAATGATTCGTTGCGACCGTGACGGCTCGCTGATGGATCCTGTAGTCATTGAGAAAGATACTGTTTTAAGACTACTCCAGCATCTCAAACCTGATAAGTCCAGTGGTCCTGACGATATTCATCCTAGGATTATGAAAGCCATATCAGATGAAATTGCTGAACCATTAGCGATACTATTCGACATGTCTCTGAGACAGTCCAAACTGCCTAGAGACTGGAAAGACGCCATAATAAGTCCGGTGTATAAGGCTGGGGGTAGGGATTTAGTTAGTAACTATAGACCCGTTAGCTTAACTAGTGCAGTTGTAAAACTGATGGAGAAAATCATCCGGATAGCTATTATAAACTATGTTGAAGGGCAAAATCTTTTCTCCAGGGAACAACATGGTTTTCGGAAAGGCCTATCTTGCTTGACAAATCTTCTCATTGCACGAGAAGATTGGGCTGCGGCAGAGGATCGGAATGCTCCTGTGGATGTGATTTTCATAGATCTAAGTAAAGCCTTTGATAAGGTTTCCCACTCTGGTCTTAAATTCAAACTGAAACGTTTTGGAATCCATTATACAGTCGTCGATTGGATAAGTAACTTTCTCCATGACAGGAGACAAAGGGTAAGGGTTAATGGGACTCTCTCCTCGTGGATACCTGTAAAAAGTGGGGTTCCCCAAGGTACAATCCTGGGTCCTCTTCAATTTTTACTTTATGTAAATGAATTGCCAACTGTAGCAAAATCATCCGTTCTACTCTTCGCTGATGACATAAAGATTTGGAGACCCATACATAGTATGTCGGATAGGATAGTATTACAGGACGATCTTAGCTCATTGGTGGCATGGTTAGATAGGTGGTCACTAGAAGTAAATCCTAATAAGAGTGTAGTAATGCAGTTAAATAACTCTGATGAATCGTATGACTATACACTACGTGGATTCGTGCTACAAAAAGTAAGAAACTATAAAGATTTAGGAGTCATATTAAGCAATGATCTCAAAACGACTAGTCACTGTAAGGCTGCTGCTGCGAAAGGCTATAGGGTATTATGGTCAATTCGTGGGTCTTTCCAGTATTTAGATGATGAAATGTTTAGATTACTATACCCGATTTATGTGCGACCACATTTAGAATACGGGATTCAAGCAGCGTGTCCTTGTTTCAAATATGAAGCAGATATGCTAGAAAGAGTCCAACGACGAGCTACTAAGATGGTACAAGGTCAATCTGGCCTATCTTATGAAGACAGACTGAGACACCTTAACTTATTTCCGTTATCTTACCGTAGAATAAGGGGTGATCTAATATTGGCCTATCGTATACTGAACGATGACCTTGGTATTAACATGTCTTATCTTTTGCTCCTGTCTAGAACTGATCATTTGAGAGGACATTCGAAGAAAGTTCAAAAACCGAGATCAAACCGTTTACGTCTGGAGTTCCGTTTCTCGCACCGAGTAGTGAATTACTGGAATTCTCTACCGGAACACGTAATATCAGCACCATCTGTTAATATATTCAAAACGAGATTGGACCTCCACGGTATTACAAACTGTAAGGATTAATATAGGTCGACAGACCTCCTATCCTTATTACTGAAGACTGTGTCTGACGAGATCTCAGCACGGATTCAGAAAGGTCGTTTGGCTTTTGCCAACTTACGTCACTTACGGTGAAGGCGAGATATCCGTCTATCAATTAAGGGACAAGTAGCCTGCGCAGTAGTTCGTTATGTTTTACTCTACGGCTGCGAAACGCTGCTATTAAGGGTAGAAGATACTCGTAGGCTACCAGTATTTGTCCACAGATGTCCTAGAAATATTGCTCGCATCCGCTGGGATCACCGGGTAAGTAATAGTGAGGTTAGACTCAAGGTATTAGGGAATGACGGTAAATCCCTTGATGGGGTTGTGAATCATCATCAACTGAGATGGTTGTGGCACGTGTTACGTATGCCTGAACACCGATTACCACGACGTGCAATGCTGATTAGTGCTGGGGATGGTTGTAAGAAAGTTAGGGGTGGCCAAACCAAAGCGTGGCATCAGTGCTTGAAGTCACTAACTTCTAGTCTGAGCCATGTTAGTGATATAGACTACTTGGTTGGGGTCCACGTGACTTCCGTAACCAATAGTTGGAGACTGCGTGACATGGCTCAGAATCGATCACAATGGCATCGGTGTATACACTCTGTTTTCCCGTAAACCGTGAGATTAAAATTGCTTTATATCTTTCTACCAACTAATTTTCCCTGTATCATATCCTCACATGCGATTTTTTTTATATATTACTACCATTGAAGTAACTGCTTCTATGAATTTGGTGTTTATGTTGTTGTGCTAATATGATATTGTAACTTGAACCGATGTATATATGTTCCTGATCCTACGTCGTAACTAACTGACTAAGATGTTTATTTATTTATAAATTTCCAAACGGATAACCATTTAATTGATGAGTTAAAAAAACCCATAATCAAATAAGAAAGAAAATTATTCTCAATGGTGATTCTGTTTTGTTTCTTTTTTTCTTTAAAATGTAAAATAAACTTTCATTAGATAATATATACAGTTTCAATGTGAGTGAGTTTGGCGTTCATCTTGTTGTGCTAATGAGGTGTGGCAACTTGGACTGATGCATATATATGCCTAGTCCTATGTTGTAGTCGAATGACTGACTGCACTTTGATGAGAACATTTATGATATGACTAACAATTACTCGAAATCTCGTAAATCGGTTCTAAACCTAGTGATTAATTTTTTATGTTTTCACTATTTAGTTATAGAAATAGCAAGTCGAGTGTTCTTTTGTTCATGTGCTTGTATTATTTATGATACATTGTGTACTGCTACAGAGGTTGCTGCTGCACTGGCTGTATTCACCTACATTTGTTGGTATGTATGTCATAAAAGGTCTAGGTCATCTGAAAAGTCCAAATCGTTTAGTTTCATCGAAATTGTCCATTGTATTCCGTGTTCACCCTGAAATATAGTGGTCTTCATAATCTAGTCAACCACCAGACAAAAGATAAACGACGAGTGTAAGCAGCCTTGTCTGACACCGGTCCTCACTTGGAATACATCTGTCAGCTGTCCTCCACCTATGAATTTTCACTGTAGTCCATCGTATGTATTCTGTGTGATGTTGACGATCTTCTCAGGTACACCATAGTGTCGATGAGGGTTCCATAAGTTTCTCCTATCCATATTGTCGAATACTTTCTCATAGTCAAGGAAGTTGATGTATAGTGTTGAGTTCCATTCAATTGATTGCTCAACAATAATCTGTAGTGTCATCTAACACAGTAGGTCAACAATGTTGGTACGTAAAGAAAAGAGCTACCATGACTTTCATGAAATTATGAGACTTGTAGCGTAGGCTTGTTGTCAGTTTGACTATCAGATGGTAAATCTACTTTCAAGTATTTTACTCTATATCATTTTAAATTTAAAAATTCATTGGTTAGTTTTTCATAAGTTGCTAGTGTTCCCTCGCAGATGTTTTCGAAGTATTGCTGACGTATAGTGATACTGTTAAACTGATTAAAGTCAAATCATATTATTATGCTTCGGCACAATAACTGGGAATTAGACTCGTTATTAGTTGATCAGCAAATTTTAATTACTTTTCATTTAACTTAGTAATCACGTGCAGGTATGCGTGTTTAGCACTTTAAGTGTGTGTGAATTACCTGTAAACAGAAACAGAGGTGGACTAGGCTTCGAACCAGAGACCTTGTAGTTGTTTCTCGAGTCTTTTAACCACTAGGGCATCGCTGACACTAGCTATTGATTATTTTGTGACTTATCGGGTATCCCGTTTGACAAGGTGGACTCCTTTCACTAAGTGATTTTTTTGTTTTGTTTTAAAGGTTGCCCATATTCAGTGCTAATGGAAGGACCTATTTTTGACCGCTTTTCTTCTGTTAATAATCGTAGTTTGCTTTTACGTGAGTCTAACCCTTCTATATGTTTTAACTGTGTAATTGCTTCATAGATAAACTCTTAGTTTGTTTAAATTCATGGCAAATTACGTCTAGGATAAGTTATTATTTATTGTTCTATATAAAAGTTTAGAATGTCACTCAATTGTTTCCAAAATGAGGGGAAAATGAGTTTTTAACTCAGTAAGTTTCTACTACTCCTACTACTATTCTTACATTTATCCTTATAATCTTGTCGCAATATACTGTGGTATGGGAAGTTGAACTGATGTCCATATGCGTCAGTTTTTATGCTGCTCATTGCTGATGGATTGACTGTTTATACATACAATAAATGCTATTACTCAACCATGATACATAATGCAAGGGGATGCGGTACAACCATTGTCTCGGTTTCACATTCTATTCTTGTTTTTCTTTCTCAGAATATCTATGTTCAGAGATAATGGCTGTTAGACAATTATCTACGTTGAAGTCTGTTGGTAAACAAAGTAATGAAAATCATTTCATGGATGTGGACAGTTCGGAAGATAATGTAGAAATCCTATCCTATTTGCAGGAAGCGTTTAAAGCTCTTGGCTTAAAAATACCTCCTGATGACTCAGCACCTACTGTAATATATTCTTGTCTTCAAAAAGGTGTAAGTGATTACAAACGGTGCATAGCTTATGCAGATGTTCATTTCGTTCATGCTTTTTATTTCGGAAGTGCTTTCTAATAAACCCTAATAGTGTCGTACATTTAATAATTTGTGTTTGGATAATTTGTGGCAAAATCGAAGTATTTACCATTTCATGTGACTGAATACTAGTTGCATGAGTGGGATGGTTGAAGACACTTGCAGAACATTACAGTCGTCAAAAGGATGGATAGGAAAACTGAGAGGGATTGCCCAGTACAGAGTTCAATGGAGAATGCTGGTGGGCGACATATGCTCCTTTGTGAGGGTTAACGGGTGTAAGTAAGTACTGTCGTCTAACATGTTTTTATTATTTTCTAGGTGCCTCTAGACAACATCTGGGAATATTAGTGGTTTTTATCTTTTTAACAATATACTAAGCTGTCTTTATCATCATTACCGTGTGTCCTCGTCCTTTTGCCGTTAGCATTCATTTTTATCACAACATATTCGAATTTATTCCCTGCCATTGGGTTATTCAAATCTATCATCTTTGCAACGCTGTTTCTCTTACAGTCATACCTACAATTTCAAGTGTCGAAGCTAAATACCAGATTGAGTTTATTGAAATTTGTCTCAAGACGTGGATGTATATTGAACTTTTTCAAACAAACATACATATTTAACTGTGACTGTTCATTCCAGCTTTCCTTGCGATCCTGTAGACCTCAAAGTATTCTGCTACGTTCTATGGCCTCTTAACTATCACGTGATAAAATCGCTTACCAGAATACCGACTTCTATGACCTTGTCCCTGTGCTAAACAAATATCATGTCAAACAGCACTGGTAGGCTTGAGTCAATTCCGATTCCTTGTTGGCCTTCTGTATAGTAGCTTCTCACCTAACCCAGCTCGTTCAGTCCGGAACACAAATATCAACCTCCACTATATGGGCCTTATATTTCAGAGTACTTGGTTTATACGCAAGCGGACCAGACCCCATCACACCATATAATAAAAAATGAAAATTATTCAAGATCAAGCTGAGATTGGCTGTGTGTGGGAGACTGTAACTAATAGATTGAGGATAACTGGAGAATAGTAAATCGTATAACATTAATAAGTCAAATGAAAGCTTATGATGAAAGAAATATAAATATATATAATCTAGTTATTGAATAATTATCCGGTAAGAATATACGTAACAACAGTCTATAAACAACCCTCAGCAGTTACCATTCATTTGTTTTTTATTCGGTTATAACATATTGGAGTCTAGGGGTTCCATAGATCAACTCGTTTTAGAGTGAAATTGAAGGCTTAATCGTTAAAGCACTCTGCTTTGAACTATTAAGTCCCAGGTTCGAATTGCAATAACCATTTGAACAACCGACTGATATCGAAAGTTATAGCTTACAGTCAGTCAGTCATAAGCAACACCAAATTTTGAACCTGCTACACCTCACCAACATAAGGAGATACAATTAACATGATGAATACCGAAGTAGTAGAATCTATACGGGATAAGTCACATTAATTTTTTTATGATTAACGTTTATTAACAACGTTGTTGTCTATGGAATGCGGTTACTAACCCCGTGTCGGTCCCGCTTTTGGACCGAAAGTATCTCTAAAAGGGCTTCAGGAGGAGTTACATTACTTGAGCATATGCATAGTTCTACTTATGAAGCAGGAATTTAACTTCTTGACTGGCACAAATGATATCCATGTATTCTGTTTTTCTCCCGAATAACTCTGCCAGCGTAGGAAAATAACATCACAAGTTGTTTATTGATATTATCCTGCTACTTACTGTGGTAGATAGATGAGAACTACCTGGTTGGGGGGGGGGTTCTTCATAACTATCGTAACAAACAGTTGAAAATGTTTGCTAAGGTGGTTTAAAATCAGTCATACTAACAAAAATGCATTTAGTCTTTTCCCTAAACTACTTATACTTCTTATTCCACAAATCCATTTTTTCTCGAATCATATTATATATGCTTAGTATTTTTACCACAACTGATACTGTTACTCCTACTACTACTCTAGCATTTGTTTTAATAATTTCACCTCACTATACTGATAAGATGTGGTCAGTTGAGCCGAATGAGTTTCGTGCTAGGTACTACATTGTTTATGAATGATAGTATGGCTGATATATTTGTGGCGTAAATCCGTTAAGATTAATCAATAAGACTGTATGTTAAGATATATATATATATGGAGAGCTTAGGAGCTTCATACTAAAACAATATAGATGCTCACTGCCTTCATCGCTATTTTCCACTGGTTATCCAACTGAAGTCAGTTCATGATGTAAAATATCTTACGGTTGGACGTTCTTCCAAAACATATATTTGTTTGCATTACTATTCTTCTATTAGATATCCGATAGTCTTTCAAGATGCCCACCCAATCATATGGGGAAATCAATTATCCCACTGACTGGTATCAGTGATCGCCAATGGTCACAGATAATGCGTATCGCCGCATTACTACAACAACAATATTCTAGTCGCCAAGCTACTCTTTTAAAACGTTTAGATGTTACTGTACAAAGTTTTAAATGGTCAGATAAAGCGAAAGTGAGTTGATGTTTTAATATTTTGGTTAAGTTTTCTAAAATTAATTTATTATAATTCATCATAATAATACTGATGTACAAAAATAACTCGTGAAAAACAAAATTCATTTTTAAAAGTGAAAATAACACTTATTAAGTTGAATGTTTTCAATGGGAAGGTGGATTTCACCGTTTGTGATAGAAACCATTGAAGAGTCACTAATGGCTCCCGTTTGAAGCATTGCCCGATAAGACCTCATTTTATTGAGTTACACGATCATCAGAACTCAATCTGGAGTGCCTTAATAGAATAACGGATGGTAGTATAACGCGTATTCTTTGACGTATTATCATTTTGAGATGTGATGATCAGCATTGAATTTCAAGTCCTAGTCCGAAGTCGTGCTACTGATTGTAATTGAGTAGGTTTGCAGTAAAACATTTGCAACAAATAAGTGGCTACTTCAGGGACACTGCATTATCACAGACAGAAGAAATGGTCATATGATCTCACTCTTGTTATGTGATTTTCGGGTGTTGATAGAAGAGCTTGAGAAACTAGGGAGTTAGCACTCTAAAATGTTATGTTCTTATAGCCTGTCAGTTATCATCGCCAATTGAGGACACCGACTTACTGACCAGGCCAATAATACATAAACCTGTATAGGCAGCCTAGAGTCCTTTCTGATTTCTTATTGGTCCACCACAATATTAGCTTGTCTCCTAACCCAGCCGGTTTTGTCCAGAACACCAATATCAGCCTCCGTTATACGAATAATGTATTTCAGACATACTGGGTTTATATATAAACAAACCAGACCGCATCATACCAAAAATAGAAAACAACAATTATACAAGATAAAGTCAAAAATTGGCTTTGATTGTGAAATATCTTAAGAATGATAAGTCGTATAATAATAGTCAATAGGTCCAATAAAAGCTCATAATAGAAGGAATGTGAATATACATATAATATAGTTATTTAATAGATACAAAATAAGAATATATATAACAATAGTTCACAAATAGATCCTAGCGGTTACTATTAACTTATTTTCCGTCCAGATTTAACCCAAAACCTAAAACACTTACATAAAGTCCATATGTAAGCGAGCTCTTTAATTTTGTGTTCATACTTTCAGGTCGATATGATCATCAATGATGATTTAATTCATTTTCAGATTTCCTTAAAAATATTTCACATAGTAAAGATATTTAGGAAGTCCAAAACACATATCTCTCCTAAGACAATTCAGATCACATTTTTATTCTTGAAAATTATCTCGTGGGACACCAAATAGTGAAGTAATCATACCATTAACACCCACTGTCAAATGAAATAAGTCGACCTGTTAAAATATATACAACCACAGCTGCCTAGAAAACCTAGTCGTCAGCGGAAATCCATTAGTTCGAATCTGTAATTCATCATTGAAGTAGCTGAGTGTACTAGCCCTTTCGTTTATGTTGGAATTCCCGTTACGCCTAATGAATAATGAATTACTAGTATTTCTGAATAACTCCACCTGGAGTCCCTCCGGGGGCTACTGCCGGTCCCAAGCCCGGATGAAGGAGGAGGGTTGGGCATGGGGTTAGCGTCCCCATCCCGTAGAAAACTAACTCGCTAAAAAAACTCTAGCCAGGAAAAATTATTCAAACCTTTTAACCTCTGCCCTGGGAGTCAGAAGGTCTTCATTTAGAAGAACTATGACGCCTCATGATGAAAGCCGAATTCCTTCGAAAGTTACGAGGCCGATGCCCCTTCTGACAACCAGAGCGACCATTTATTTAGGTACATGGAATGTTCGTACAATGTGGGACACCGGGAGAGCCTTCCAAATTGCTGCAGAAATGAGAAGATACAAGCTAGAGGTACTTGGGATCAGTGAAACACATTGGACGCAAGTTGGACAACAACGACTAACTTCAGGAGAGCTTCTGTTATACTCCGGCCATGAAGAAGAAAATGCCCCACATACACAAGGAGTTGCATTGATGCTGTCCAAACAAGCACAAAATGCGCTTATAGGATGGGAATCTCATGGACCAAGGATCATCAAAGCCTCGTTCAAAACAAAAAAGGAGGGCATTACAATGAATATTATCCAATGCTATGCGCCTACCAACGATTACAATGAAGACGCTAAAGATCAATTCTACAATAGGCTGCAGTCAATCATCGAGAAGTGCCAAACAAAGGACCTGACCATTCAGATGGGAGATTTCAACGTCAAGGTTGGAACGGACAACACTGGATATGAAGACATCATGGGACGACATGGACTGGGAGAAAGAAACGAAAATGGTGAGAGATTTGCAAACCTATGTGCCTTCAATAAACTGGTCATAGGTGGCACCATATTCCCACATAAACGTATTCACAAAACCACATGGACTTCACCGGATCACACCACGCAAAACCAAATCGACCATATTTGCATCAACAAAACGTTCAGGAGGACTATAGAGGACATGAGAACGAAGAGAGGAGCTGATATAGCATCAGATCATCACTTGCTGGTCGCCAAGATGAAATTGAAACTCAAGAAGCACTGGACAATGGGGCGGACAATATCACAAAAGTTCAATACGGCCTTTCTTCAGGATACTAACAAACTCAACGAATTCAAGATAGTCCTCAGCAACAAGTTCCAGGCTTTCATGATCTACTCAATGGAGAAGGAACTACTGTGGAGAGCAACTGGAAGGGGATCAAAGAGGCAATTACTTCACCATGTCATGAGGTCCTGGGTCACAAGAAGCACCATCACAAGGAATGGATCACTGTTGATACACTGGATAAGATTCAAGAAAGGAGGAACAAAAAGGCAGCAATCAATACCAGTCGAACAAGAGCAGAAAAAGTCAAGGCACAAGCTGAATATAGAGTAGTAAACAAACAAGTGAAGAAGAGCATCAGAACCGACAAACGTATATACGTGGAAGATCTAGCAAAGACGGCGGAAAAGGCTGCAAGAGAAGGGAACATGAGACAACTGTATGACATAACAACGAAACTCTCTGGAAATCGTCGCAAACCAGAACGACCAGTGAAAAGCAAGGAAGGCGAGGTAATCACCAACATTGAAGAGCAACAAAACAGGTGGGTAGAACACTTCAAAGAACTCTTGAATCGACCAGCTCCACTGAACCCACCCAACATCGAAGCAGCACCCACGGACCTCCCAATCAACGTTGGCCCACCAACAATTGAAGAAATCAGCATGGCCATCAGACAAATCAAGAGTGGCAAAGCAGCAGGACCAGACAACATTCCAGCAGAGGCACTAAAAGCAGACGTAGCGGCAACTGCAAGGATACTCCACATTCTCTTTAATAAGATTTGGGATGAGGAACAAGTACCAAAAGACTGGAAAGAAGGACTCCTGATCAAAATACCGAAGAAAGGCGATCTGAGCAACTGTGATAACTACAGGGGCATCACTCTTCTTTCAATACCGGGAAAAGTCTTCAACAGAGTATTGTTAAACAGGATGAAGGACTGCGTAGACGCCCAACTTCGTGACCAACAGGCAGGATTCCGTAAGGATAGATCGTGTACAGACCAAATCGCAACTCTACGGATCATTGTGGAACAATCAATTGAATGGAATTCATTACTCTACATCAACTTCATCGACTACGAAAAGGCATTTGATAGCGTGGACAGGACAACACTAGGGAAGCTTCTTCGACACTACGGCGTGCCTCAAAAGATAGTCAATATCATACGGAATTCCTATGATGGATTACACCGCAAAATCGTGCATGGAGGACAGTTGACAAAATCGTTCGAAGTGAAGAACGGTGTAAGGCAAGGTTGCTTACTCTCACCCTTTCTCTTTCTCCTGGTGATCGACTGGATCATGAAGACGTCAACATCTGAAGGGAAGCACGGGATACAATGGACATCTAGGATGCAGTTGGACGATCTGGACTTCGCAGATGATCTGGCCCTTCTATCCCAAACGCAACAACAAATGCAGGAGAAGACGAACAGTGTAGCAGCAGCCTCAGCAGCAGTAGGTCTCAATATACACAAAGGGAAGAGCAAGGTTCTCCGATACAACACAGCATGCACCAATCCAATCACAATTGACGGAGAAGATTTGGAAGATGTAAAAACCTTTACATATTTGGGCAGCATCATTGATGAACAGGATGGATCTGATGCAGATGTGAAGGCGCGGATCAGCAAAGCAAGAGCAGCATATTTACAACTGAGGAACATCTGGAACTCAAAGCAACTGACCATCAACCAACACCAAGGTCAGGATTTTCAATACAAATGTCAAGACAGTTCTACTGTATGGGGCGGAAACCTGGAGAACTACGAAAGCCATCATCCAGAAGATACAGGTGTTTATTAACAGTTGTCTACGCAAAATACTTCAGATCCGTTGGCCGGACACTATTAGCAACAACGTACTGTGGGAGAGAACAAACCAGATCCCAGCGGAGGAAGAAATCAGAAAGAAGCGCTGGAAGTGGATAGGACACACATTGAGGAAAGCACCCAACTGCGTCACAAGACAAGCCCTCACATGGAATCCTCAAGGCCAAAGGAAAAAAGGAAGACGAAAGAACACATTACGCCGAGAAATGGAAATAGACATGAAGAAGATGAACAAGAATTGGATGGAATTAGAAAAGGAGTCCCAGGACAGAGTGGGTTGGAGAATGCTGGTCGGCGGCCTATGCTTCATTGGGAGTAACAGGCGTAAGTAAGTAAGTATTTCTGAATATGGCTTACATGGCTTTTACTAACCTGTATTCAAATGGCGATATCGGTTTCCGTATTTAGAAGATTCAAATCATGCTCTACTTCGAACATGTATTTATTTGCGTCTTATTGGGCGGAGAAAAGCTATAACAAGAAAACTCCTTAAATTTCAACCTAATCAATTAGCAAGTTAAGCATATATTCCAGACATAATAAAAGAAGTTTTTCAACCATGAGAGTGATATCCATCTTGAGGTAGCTTGACGTGATATCCAAAAACTAGAAACAGTAGTGATTTC